ATAAACAAATCCTTGCTTTTCTGTTTCCAGAATCAGCTGATGAACCATTGCAGTATGTTGTTTAATTTTAGCAGTCCACCCGCCCAAAGCAAGAAAAATGGCAAAATTAATAATAATAATAGTAAAATCATTAATGAAAATTTTCTCTAATTTAAAATGATCTCTCCTAAAATTGGAAACTTACCCATAATACATAGGAGAAAAATCTAAAACTTTCAGTGAGTAAATTCTTTTAAATTGAGAATAATCAACATTGTAACAAAAATTTTTTACACCAAACTTTGCTAGAACCTCCTTTTAAACACCAGTTTGAAACAGTGAAAATAACTATTTGAATATGAGACGCCAATTTGACCTCTTTGGCAAAACTAAAAACTTGTAGTCGAGAAAGCCATCTCCCAAAAGGTGAATTTAATGCTACAAAGGAAAGAATTTTGAATTTCAAAGAAATACTTTTAATTCAAAAAATTATTGACACTTTGAAATGTCAACTAAACAGATGACAAAGAATTATTCTCAATTGTAAAAAATATTAAAGACTTTTAAGTAAAACTTAATGATTAAGAATAAGTTCACAAAATATAGTGGACTGTAATATCACTTATTTATTTTATATAACATTTTGAAATAGAAGAAGTGACGATACAGCATTGGTACACGCATCACTCAAAAAACTGTAGCAATAATAACAAAAAACTAGAACACACAACTCACATACTTTGGGAAGTTCATTACCAAAGCAACCACAATTGAATCATCAGGCAGTAGCGCCATCTATTGTTGCAAAGGCACATTACAATTTGTTTGGTAACAACAAAAAAAAAAAAAAAAAAACTGAACACCTAAATTTAAATTTAAGAAATCCGAATTAAAATGTTAAAAAAAAAATTAATTAAAAAGAAGAAATAGAATAAAGAAAAGCAAAAAAAAAGTGAGGAGAACATTATAATTAATGTACACTGCTCAAAAAAAAAAAAGTGGGACAGTGCTATATCTCCCGTTCTACTGGGGCGATTCACGAAATTCAAATTGCGTTCTTCATGTCTCGAAAGCGCGACTTAGGATATATATTAGATTTATATATAGCACTATTCTAACATAGGTATTTTGACACAAAATCGGACTTTTTCTGAAATAACATACCATTTTTTTTTACATATTTCGATTCTACGACTCAAATTATGCCATAATACCAAGTTTTGTAAAAATCGTACGAGTAGTTTTTAAAATATTAGCTCTCAAAATTTTAGCTCCTCAATGTTAATTGAATTTGGCAAATATTTATTTATATCTCTTTTTTTAATAAACGTTTTTGATTTTTTCTCTCACATTTCGAAATTTAGGTTCATTCCAAATAAAATTTACCCATTTTTTGTGTTTTATTTTTTAAATTTCTATTTTAAAATAATTTTTTTATAAATTTTTTCAAAAAAAATTTTACCATCATCTTAAAGTAGGTATATTTTTAAGCATATCTGCAAAAAATTAGACTTTTTTACTTAAAATTTTCTAAGATAAACACAAATTTATATATTTTCGCGGTTTGAAATTTGGCATCTTTTTTTTTTGAGCGATAATAACACCAAATGTGGTCTATGGACTTTTGTTACATTGTATTGCCACAGCTATTTTTAACCTTAAATTTCAAGTAAAATTTTACGGAGAATTAATTATATGACATTTTTTCCCACAATAATGCGTAATAAATATTTATTAATACTATATGAAAGGCTATTTTTTAAATTATAGATGATATTATTCAAATTTTTAACTATTTTTTTTTTTTTTTTTTTTTAATTTCTCTCGTATCTTTTCTTTTTTAAAAAAATTAAGAGTAAGTTTTTGTAAGAGTAAATTTTTACCTTCGGCGTTTTATCATCTGCTATTTTACTTCGTTTAAATCGAATTGTCTAAAACTAAGAATTTTCGTTTGATGTTTATTTGAATTTTATGACATTAACTGCACTATTTATTTCTAAATAAACTGATGCTTTTGAAGTGGCTGAAAGAGCGGCTGGTACTATCATCCATATTTTTAAAGCACAGTATATTTTTATAGAAACATAAGATTTAGAATAATCATTTTTATAAAAGTCAAATTATCATATAAACCTACAAACCTCTAGAAATTGAATTAATGGAAGTTCAATGGTTATGTATAAATGATCTGCAGCTACTTAATCGCTGGATAAGTCAGCAGATTCTGTGGACAACTAAGAATAATTATATAAACGACACCCAACATTCTGAATTCAAATAACAACGATGTATACGATGCTTATTAAATGAATTCAAGAAGTTTTAAAACATCTAAAATGTATTTTTGTGCGTAGCGTATTTTCATTATTCTAATTTAAAATTCTAATTTAGAATGTAATTGTCAAGACTGAATCCTAATCATCAGTAATATATTAAGTAATTATTACGCTTATTAATAAATCCTTATAAAGTAATTGCAAATATTTCAAAAAACTTTCTGTCTGAATGCAAATATTTTTAATTTTACATTAATCAAGATTGCACACGATATTATTTATTTGCACTTCAATTCTTAACGTCAGTTCTAGTAGAAGTTACAAATCAATTATATTTAATTAAGGATTGGATTGGCTTATTTAATTATGGCAAAGCACACGAGGGTTATCTGCCTAAAGGGAGGGATGCCTTCGTGGAGGACTTTCTAAGGGAAACTGGCTCGTATACACGTTACACATTGGGAAAACCACGAAAACACCCATGCAACCAGCCCGTTCGCGGGATTCGGACCGAACTACCAGTGATCAGCATCTTTACCGCTCGGCCGTTTGTGGGCCTTTATGTAACGGAAGGCGATAACTTTATTTAAAATGATTGTCAGAAATACCAAAATTGTTTCGAAAAGTTGGATACTTTTTAGTATACTTTCAGAATGCTTAAAGAAAAAGAGAAGAAAAATAAATTTTTTCGTAAAATTTAGTATTTGTATTTTTTTTTTTTAATTTAAAACTTTTCAATCTTATTATATTTGATTCTTGCGATTTCAAAAATAAAATATTTGACTAAAATATGAATAACATTTTAAGAAACCAAATGTAGGATAAAATTGTGTAAAGCAATGGGCACAATGATAAAACTGTTTAAAGCAGTGTATGCAAGTCATCCTAAGTTAAAATGTCGGTTATACATCTCTCTTATTTATATATATCTTTTCTGAACGGAACATTGAAAGGAGTGTAAAACTGTGCTTTACTGTATTTTCTCTTTTAATATAGTATGTAGTTTCCAAACGCATCGCAGTCTGGGTTACAAAGTATTCTTCCGAAAGAAACGCAGTTCAAATAAATAAAATCAAATTCTGTAAAATTGATATTAATAAATATATTTAAAATGCTCAGTTCGAAGGAATAAATAGAAAATTTTAAAACAATTATCTGAAGAGACAATGCAACACAAACAATTAAAATAAAAGTATAAAAATTTAAAAATTACCTAAAATAATAAACTATGACGAAAAAATATATATAAAGAAAACTATTTGAAAAAAAATAAACGCTGCACCTTCATTTACGTAGTTCGAATAGGTAAATAGAAATTTTTAAAACAGTTATTCGAAGAAAAAAAACGTGCAACTTAAACAATTAAAATGAAATTCGAAAAAGAAAAAATTACTTAAAATAATAAGTTATAATTAAAAATATAATATAAAGAATATTATTTGGAAAAAAGGAACGATGGTGACTTTTTTTCCTCTCATGGGAAAGGAAACTAGGTTACTATATATTAAGAAATTCGCCAAGTGAAGTATTCTTGGCGCAAACTGACAAAAAAGTGCCAACATAAATTTGTGAATTTCTCCGTAAATTTCGCTTAAAATTTTACAAAATTTCATATTTAGGCGTAATTTCAGTCGTGGAATCGAAATATGTAAAAAAATTGGTATGTTATTTCAGAAAAAGTCCGATTTTGTGTCAAAATACCTATGTTAGAAATTTGCTATATATAAATCTAATATATATCGTAAGTCGCGCTTTCGAGACATGAAGAACGCAATTTGAATTTTGTCAATCGGCCCAGTAGATCGGGAGATATGACTGTCCTTTTTTCTTTTTTTTCTTTTTTCTTTTTTTTTTTTTTTGAGCAGTGTACAAATTTCTGAATATTTAATGTAGTTTAAAAATTGCCGAGGCTCTCGTGGTAGTCATGTTTTTTGCATTTTAAAAACAAACATAAAAAGGGCCTAGAAATTTCCAGTGGTAAATTTAATGCTGTTTAGCGGGAGGATTTTTTTTTATATACAAAATTTATTTAATTTTTAAAAATAATTACAAATTTAGTCGTAGGAAAATTGTAAAGGAAAAAAAGTAAAGGACAAATGTTCGAAAATAAGAAGTTTTCACGTCTTGTGCTTATCATGACGACTTGAAAGTAAGAGGTTGTATAGTTGATGATAGCAAAGAACCTAAAGGAAAAATAAATCAAAATTAAAACCTTTATAAATTTTTAAATCATCCTTCTCTATTGGAGTTTTCAAGTAAAAAAATCTATACTTTTAAAAAGCTTTATAAAGGTGTAGACTACTCCAGTATTCCTCTACTATTTTATAGGGTGTATACTACTCCTACTACTTTCTTGGCATGATTGTATATTTTTCTTTATAAAAAATTCTTTGTTATATATATGGATTTATATCAGAATATAAATCCAGAATTCATTGATAATTATTCCTTCATAAAGATTTCTTGCAGTATTATTAGTATATTAAAATCCAGAATTTATAGTGTACCTTTTTAAAAATGGAAAAGAAGATTAAACAGTTTTGTGTTTCATAAATGTTTAAACAGATTTATGCCCTGTATAGTATTTATACATTGTTTCAACTATTATGCATTTTGCTTTTACTGTATTCGTGTTCCTGCAGATATTAATTGTTATAATTAATTTATTGGTTTGAAATTTGTTTCCAGTAAGCTTGTCCTTTTATAAAAGTTTCAATATAAATAAACTCTTTATTTCTCTTTAAGGACTGGGTTCCTATAATAGCTCGTGATGTACAGCGTCAACGAAGGCAGGCTCCACAAGCACCATTTAGTAATGCATATCTAAGTGGCATGCCATCTAAACGAAGAAAGGTAACTTAAATCTTGTCGTAAAAGTTTTATACTCTTATGAAATTATAAATGCCCGTAAGACACTAGTTGATAGTTGAAATGCTTAAATGAAAAATGTAATCCAATGAGTTTTTGTCAGTTTATTAAGTATTTAGATTTGTTAAAATTTTCAATCTAAATTTAGATATAAACTTTAAATTACACTTCATAAAACTTGTATTCTCCATTATTATTTGCGAAATAAAATTTTTGTGCTTTTTTAGAAGTACTTTTTTTTTTTTTTTTTTTTTAAGATGTGTTTTACAACTGTATGAATTCAATGTATTGTTACCTAAGGTTTTGCTTAGAATCTAAAGTTTCTAATTGGTTAATCTTAATAAACTATTCCTATTGCTATTCCTTAATAAACTTTCCTAATGCTTCATTAAGCATTCATTTTTTTAAAAAAATTATTCTTTGGATTTGAAGAGGTGTTATTGTTTTCACACTTCGTAACAAAACCCTCTTGATTATAAATAAAAACCGTATTAATATTTATAAAGTATTGTTACAGGTTCGTAATAGATTGAATGCACACAGAAACGATGATAGCTTAATAAAATTTATTTTATCCAAAGAGACACTTCACATTTCTGGAACTTTTCACAAAAATACTTGTACAGCTCTTCAAAGTATCAGAGTATAATTAGTAGTTACGCTTTAAACTACTAAGAATGTTAAACACATGGCAATGCAAAGTGCATCTAAAAGGGAAAGCTCTGACGAATATCTCAATACTCCAAAGTCGCTCTGACCTATAGGTACAGAGAAACTGATGCTTTCTGTGGTTTGATATAGTTTCCTTTTGGCCACTGAGAGATTTCAAGTACCTTCCACATCTCAAAATTACGGGAAAGCATATAAGTGCCGGGTACAGTTGCAGCTACCTACAGCATCAATTACAGTTATACAGGGACTGCACCAAAATATCACCAAATGGTCGTCAAGTTTGGCAACTTTGGGCGATTTCTTGCCAGATGTGGTGCCAAAACCATTGCCGGCTTGGTGATATCTCACCAATTTAGAGAGATAGCCATTTGCTCAATGTTAAGTAGACTTCTCCTGCATTCTTACTTTTTCTTCGCATTATTCTTACTTCGTTTATTTAGATTTTCATTTTACATTATATATTTTTAAAAAAATTAGTTTCACTAAAATTATTTACATGTGTACAAAATTCATAACTGTGTGTTGCTGTTCAGCATAAAAATTTGATTCATTTACAAAATTATTTTATCTGTGCTTCTTAGTAGCATTTTCCAGCAAATGCTTTTTTTGCACGACAACTGATGAATAAAATACATTTCTATTCTATAATACTTCAATTATAAAATTTTCACTGTATTTCTTCTGTAGAATATTACGGCCAAAGTAAAATAAAATTATTTTGTTGAAATAGATTGCAATCGCATATATATGTTTATTCTTCTTTCTCTCAGTTTTATTCAAATGCTAATGTACTTTTAATAGCTTGCTATTTTCTGTATCTGTTACTTTAAGCCCCATTCTTCTGTACCAAAAAGTGCAGAAATGAGCACCAAAATGTTTTGAATACTTTCTAGTTGAGTCCTAATTTTATAAATGAGTAATTTTTTTTTTTTTTTTTGACTTGACAGCAGTATTTCATTTCACAAGAGAAGCAAAATATTTGTATAATTATCTGTAAATTATTATTTTTGGGGGGTGTATTTATTTTTAAGAATTATTAATGAGAATTTCTTCAGTGTATGAAACTTAATTTGAAAATTTCAAAGTGTAGTGAAGTTTCGCACTGAAATCCCAAGAAGTAATAGGTTAATAAATTGTTTAAAAATTATATGTCCTGTTATTTTTTCCCACGTATCTGGTTATTATGTTCACCAGTTAAATTATGCATTTTGTTGTGTTCTGTCAATAATAACTGTCATAAAGTCCAGTTTCTGGGGAAAAAAATTAAATAAAAGGGGGAATAATGTCTTTACTTTTCAGTTAATTTCATGTGAGAAATTTTCAGTTTTTATATTTTTAAATATTCAGGTACAAATAGTTTTCTCTGTTGAAATCTTTTAGATATATATATATGTATTATTTTTTACTTTGGCAAAGTTGGTAGATGATTATTAGATGAAAATTTAATTTTTCATGGTAAAAATAGTGATAACACTTTTATGTCCCCTATTCCCCACCCCCCACATGAAATGCAATGAGCATGACAGTTTTATTTGAAAATGCATTTTGATGCCATGTAACATGACAAGTCTTTTTTAAAAATCCGTCTATGAAATTTTTTAATAATAAATTTAAATGTGACCTTTTATTGCATTTATTTTAATGCAGTTTGTAGCTCCTTCTTTAGATGTAATTAGTGAATTGATAGTGTGTTTGATTTCATAACTGTGTACTTGGTAATATTTGTGATCTGAATTTAAGTGTGCTTATGTGCTATTTATATTTATTTTTATGGTAACACAAAGAACATTATTTATTTATTTGTATGCAATATTCTCCAAAATGAAATTTCTTTGCTTAGATCATGACAAATGGTTCACCAGTTTTACTCGGACAGTCTCAGAGTGCTTTATCAGACATTCTGTTTCAAGCCATCTCTAATGCAAATGTTCAACCTCTGCACAACATTGAAGAAGTAAAGAAAGATGCCTCTCAGGATGTGTTACTTCAGTCTTCATTTAATGAACATATGAAAAATGCTATTCAGGAAAGATTGCATAGAGATTTGGATTATTGTTCAGAAAGATTCCCAAATGCAGAAAAGTATTTCAATATAGATCATATTTAAATATTTTTTGGGGTTTAGTAACAGTTTGTATTGTATTTCTGCTTTTTAAAATAATAGCTTCATAAATTTTCTGAATTTATTGATTAATACTTATGGTGTTAGCTTTTAAGATATCTTATTTATGTAGTTATTTCTAAATTGCATGTATTCATTGATCTGTATTATATGCACCAAATAGCAGTATTTCTGTATGTGTTTAGTTATTGTCTATTTTGTTTAAAGATTTTCAACTTAATGAATAGTGCTGAAATTTGAGCATATATCCAAGCAAGTAAACATTTACCTATGAAGATTATGTATCTTTTAAATTGGAATTATGTTAGAAAGAAAAGCCACTGAGGAGTTTTATAGTTTTGCAGGCATTTTCAAAGTAAACTATTTTCTGTGTGCATTAAATATGTGCACAGATTTGCTTTGTCATTCCTTTAGAATAATTTTTCACACTTTTATATTAAACTGTAATAGACTGCATTTTAAGCATAAGACCTGAAATGAAAAATCTTTTTAGAATATAAAGGACACTATCATAAGCTTCCTAATTTTGTTAATTGATATTAGTGGGTTTTTTAATTTAATTTTCTTTTTTTAATTTTAGAGTATCTCTGTATTTCATTTCATCACTATGAAGAAATAGAATTGTGAATGTGTTATATTTTTTTATAATTTTGATTCATAAAAAACGTTTTTCCCTGAAATATTATATTCCCACCTTTTACTGTTTTGTAACTGAATGTCATTCACAGCATACTTGGTGTATGTAATTTTTAGCCAGATAGTGGAAAATCTCATGAAGTTTCATTTGAATTTTTTAAAATATGTTAAAAATATTTGACAGGATATCATTGTACTTAAATGGATATGCAATGTATTGTTTTTCCTTTTACTTCAAAATCTCACTTATTTATGTAATTTGCTTTATCAGTAATAGTTAAATAAATTACCAAAGTTTTTCGAACATATATGATGTTTATGTGTATTTGAAACAATCCATAAATTTGTCCATATTGAAAAAAATTCTTTAAATGTTGTTTTGAGTGCAAGAAGTTCTTAGATTATTTATGGCATTTTTTTTTTCGAGCGAGTTTGTTCACAGAAAATATTTTGAAATATGAAATGACTAATGAATAGGTAGCTATTCCATTCTATTCATTCATCAGTGTCTATCACTAGCATTCAAAATCATTTTTCAGTCACATACACACAGACTGTTTTAGTTTTTGTATGATTAGTTTGGGCAAAAAATTTTTTTTTTTTTTTTTTTTTTTTTTTTTTTTTTTAAATATTTTTGTCTAACTAGTTATTACTAAGTTCTTTGTTTTCTGTGGTGTAAGAAAATGATGTACTGTAATTGTTTAATGATAGATCATCATGTGCTGTACCTGCAAATGTTCACATATGTGTTAATACATATGCAAAACAGAGCGTTTGAAATTTTTTTCCCTCTAGAATTTCACAAATCTATTGGTCTAAAATCAGTTTGGTTCAAATTTAATAAAATGTGAAAAATTATAGAATCATGTATATTACATACCAATATCATGTGTTCCAGACTATTTATTATTCTTGGCTACCATAACTGATACTGTTTATTTAATTTTAACGTATCAAAAATAATAATCATTATACAGTCAAAAGTCGTTAATTCGGACTTCGGCGATTCCGGATTATCGATTTTTCCGGATTATAGATCATCAGTTTAAATCTGCTAAGATGGCATGCAGAAATTATAAAATAAAAATATGAAACCGTAACTTATGAAATAAAGAACAATTATGATCTAAAGGGTATCAAAGTTTACAAAAAAAAAAAAAAAGCTTCATATTTATTTGTTTACTTTATTAAACATTTCTTTCAGTGTAAGTTGTTTAAGTTGCTTCGTTTTTATGTGATAATACTTTCTCTTTAATTCTATAAAGAGACATAATTTCTTGTTCAGTTACAAAGTTCCGCTGTTCAAGTCCTATAATTGCTGTGTGGAGAATACCGACTAATTTGTCAATAGAAATTTTTTCGTTTTCACTAACCTCTGTCACTTTCTTCGCTATCGGAAGCGAATTATAATGATGAGGAAGTTGATTTAAATCATGTGAAAGACGGAGTACATCGAGATGAAATACTGCATTTAGTAAGGAATTATAAGCCAAATAAAATAAAAACATCTGCCCTGAAGGTAAGAGGATAGTGCTGACAGATCACTCCATTCCAATTCAATTCATTGTGCGCCGTGGCGTTAAAGATAAACAAAGTTTTTAGATAAACAAAGGATATGCCTTTATCCATTTTTTGCAGCAATTCCACTTTTTTCTAATGGACTTCGAAACATACTTTCGCTTTGTAGATCCTTTACATATTAGTAAATATATATCAGAAATTCTATTTGACATAATCGAAAGTTCAAGCTTACTTTTATAAAATTGCTCTAACAGTCTGCAAAAAATAATAAGCAGAATCCAATTCGAAGATTAAGGAACAACGCAATCTGCAACATGAACTGAATTAGATAATTTTAGCTTAGCTTATACCGTCCGTTATACATTAAACGCGCATTCGTAAACGTATTTTGCGCACACACATATTCGCAGCCATAAAGGTCTTACGCACACGCGTCAACGCGACGCATGTGCAGAAAGTTTGTAGCTTTGAGGTCCGGATTATGGGTGTCCGAATTAACGACTTTTGACTGTAGTTCTTATCTTGTAATTATCATTAATGTTTAAAATATTAAATGTAAGGTATGCTTCAAAACTGATATTTGGTGTCATAAAATATAATTTAGGCTATTACATTCATGTTTTGTTATTGTTTACTCAATATGGCTGCCACCTAAAATAAATCATTCAATAATCTATTCCTTAAGTATTAAGTTGTTTATTGTATAAAATCTTACCTCTTTCATTGCAATTGTTTTTTTAGACAGCTTAAATATGCTAATGACAAAAAGAATTTTTCAAGTAATAAATGTTTGTATGCCCCCCCCCTCAAATTTTTCTCCTTTGAAATAGTTAATTGTAACCAGATTATTAAATAAAATTTTAAAAAGCTATATTTTAAGGAGGAAAATGTTCGTATTATAATACAAGATTAGTTAACTGCATAGTATGGGGTGAGAAGAGAATGCATCCTGCAGGAGCAGTCTAACTTGTGAACTTTTAAATTGTGTTAAAAAGATCTATAATATCATTCTTAACCTAATATTATTTTTTTTTTTTTTTTTTTAATTTTATTTTAAACTGTATCTGTTTACACAAAACTATTTTCAGCATAATTTATTCTTCTATAATTCTTCGTTTTTTAACTTGGGCCATATATTTATAATATTGGAGAAATAAGTGTAGCAAAGTTGTATAGATCTTTCTTTTCTATACAATCTATAAGTAAAGGTTGAAGTTTCTATATAGGCTAGGGCAGGGTATGAATAAATGTGATATTTCATCTTTTTGTTCCAAAATAGAAAACTAAATTAAGTAATATATAAAAATAAGAATTAAAATCAGAAATGCTGTTTCTGATTTTTAATATCTGCTGATATTTTAATTACATATGTGTAATAATTTAACCACACGTGAAATAAGATCAGTATGTAATAGTATATTATATTGCATTATGATAATTTGTCAGCAGTTTAAAAATCATTATGTATCAGAATTATTGTAAATGCATTAAAAATACCACCAAAATAAAATAAAATACTTTCCAAGTGTATGTTTGTGGGGGTGGGCTTTGTGACACCAGCAGAATTTCTGCATAATTATATAAAAATGAAACAAGCTTTCTCAATCAATATATACATGTCTGTGTGTATGTATTCGTAACTATCAAAAGTAGCAAAAAGTGGAAGACGCTCATTTATTTTTTCATAAGAAAACAGATTAAATTGAGGGAAAATGCCTTTTAGTATCATTCAGTTTAAAAATTCATTTACATTTCACATTAAGATTATAGCAGAATCAAAAGTCAAACTGATTTGAAGTGGAAAGTAAATTATCTCGTTGATTTTAGTATATTTCTCAAATTTATTCATTCCTTTCTCAGAAGGTATAGGATATAATAATTGGTTTATTTTTTCTTGTATCATACAGAAGTAAATCTTTAAAAGCCTACAGTTTAAGTCTTCTTATTTTCCCTTAATCAAAATTAAATTTAATCAGTGGGATGTTCTGCAGAATATAGTCAATTCACATTAGAATCTAAATTTGATAAATTTTTATTAAGAATTTTAAGATACTGATTGTATAAACCTGCTTACAGCGAGGAGGCACTGTTGTTTATAGAGATTGATGCGAGATCATCAGATTGTGATGTGTTGATTATTAAATAAATTGTATTACCATTTGATCATGGATTGATTTGAAAATTTGACATAATGATGAACTATGATAACTGAACCATCACTTTGATGATAAGAACCTGTATAGGGAACATTGGTATTGAGAAAAGTTATTCAAAGTAACATTTACAAATTTTAAGAAATTTATATATTTAAAAATTACGTGTGTTTTTAGATTCACAAGGGGGCAAGTTTTAATTTTTATGTAGCATTAGTTGCTAAACAAAAGGTCAGATTTACTTTATTTTGAAAGAAAAAAAATATGTGTAATTTAAAAATTCAGTTTGGAACTGAAATGTGAGCTTTTGTTAACAACATTCTCAGAGAACTGTTGCACCTACTTCATAATTTCTTATTTAATATTGATGTGTTTCTCCTCCATATACATCAGCAGGTTCATCCATATTGAAATTTTGCAATAACTTATGTTCAGTATCTCATCAGAATTGCACTGACTTTTTTTGTGAGTAAGGTATTGTCATGTTGATAGATGAAAGCAGGGTTTGCATGGTTTTTCTTAAAGGGCTAAGAAATATAGTTTAGTATCTGCAGCTAAAAAGTGCCATGAAAAATTTCAACTGTTTTTTAAGAGACAGATTACTTTACATGGTTTAATAGAAATTAAAAAGGCTAGGGTTAAGAACAAAGTCCTGCATGATGAGTAAATTTGCAACACTGTTCATTATTAGAACTACCGTAAAGCTCTTTCCCATATTATTATTTCAAGTTTCAGCATGTGAAGACAGACATATAGAGAATGCCTGTCTGTGTCACTTGCAGTTATGTTCATCTGCTGTTCTAAATTAACTGAAACCAAAGTGTCTCATGTCATTGTTAAGTGAGATGCAATCATATAAACATGGCTACCTATAAAGTTCATTTGATGACGTATTTTGTACGAATACCTATAAAGTTTATTTCATGACATTGTATTTTGTACGAATTCCAACAAGGAGGAAATGTAGTAGAGACGTGTCTTTGATGACATTGTATTTTGTACGAATTCCAACAAGGAAGAAATTTAGAGATGTGTCAAAATTTAGTTAAAATTTTTGGTAGAGATGCAGTTTCGAATAAGTGTGTGTCTAATGTTACAATGTATATACTCATTATATACTAGTGATTCACCTAAATTAAGAACACTGTATATGCTAGAAAAGCAAGTGCATCCATGCATACAAGAACATAGTCCTATAATTTATTAAAAGATTTAATTTAGAAATTAAACTATGACATATTATGGTTGATTATAATGTATAAAATAATCATTATATATAAATGAATAAATACGAAGTAAAAAGCAGTTCAAAACTTAATCCAGTTGCAGACTGATAGTAGTGACAACTGGTGGTATTAATGCAAAATAAAAATATGTAAAATTTGTCAGTTCGGATTTAATCTCATACAAAGAGCAGGAGCACAATGGGAAACTCAAGAAATGAGGGGAGGCAAAATATGCCAAAATCAAGAATAAAATATGAAATTTACATCTTTTGTCGCATCATCATCAGGGGCTCGGGCACTGAAAGAAGTAAATAAATGAAAACAGCCTGTTTCTGAACCAGTAAAGATTGCAAAATTTGAAAATAATCTTAGGAAAACAATAATAAAAGTAATCTCTGTCTACCCCTA